ATAAATGGGCATTGCGTTGAGGATTATTATTCGAGGGAATCGTTTTGATATCCGAGAGTCGATATTTCGTTAATTATCGTGTGAATAATTGGAGAAAATTAATAATTTGTTGGAAACCGATGTTGACAGTTTTTTCTTCTTCGTAAAGGGACATTATATCGATAATTATCAGAGAATTGATTACTAAATTTTATCGTATGAATTATATATATATATTTTCCAAATAATTTCAATTTCACTGTTGAGAATTGATGTCGATAGTGTTTCTCATAAATGGATATTGCATTAAGAGTCATTGTTCGAGAGAATCGTTCTTGGAAATACAAATTTTAGAATTTTGAAATGCATTTTAAAATATAACTAGTAGATAATTATGAATGGATATAATACGTTTCATAAAATACAAATTTTGGAATTTTGAATCTCGGTTTCGATGATATTTCTCGTGAATAGATACTGCATTCAGGATAACTATTCAAATTATTGTAACTATTGTTTTATAGAGTGTAAATTATGGAATCAAAATTGCATTGTTTCTCGTAATAATGGATATCGCAATTATTATTTCCAGAGAATTCCGCTATTTTTATTAGCTTTGATGTTTTTCTAATTATTTATGAATATATTATCTCACAGAATACAAATTTTGAGATGCAAATATAATATTTGAGAGCATTCTTTAAAATTCTCTCGAGGGCATGTTTCATAAATCAATCCTGGCTTTTGTTCTCGACAAATATAATTACAAATCCGGTTTACTATTTTTGCTACAACAAAGTCGGATGGGAAAGATTCGAAAGTGGGTCGCGACCTGGATCCATCTATCAATCCAGACTTCGATCGTCTCCTCATTCTCGTTTCCATCATAAATAAACAATCGTTTCGTTCGTTCCTTTCTAGATATTTTCTTCGTTCAAGGAATCAGTTAATTTAAATGCCAAGTACCGAGTGTTCAAACTATGTGTATATACACACACATATTTGTAGATATATATATACATACAGGTTATATATATACAGGTTAGGTTAAATTAAATTAAATTAAATTCGTCGAAGAATCATTAATTTGGATATCAAGTATCGAATGTTCAAATTGTATAATACATATATATGCATATATATGTATTTATATAATATAGGTTAGGTTAGATTATCGAATGTTCAAATTGTATACGCATACATGTGCACATATATGTATATATACAGTATAAGTTAGGTTAAAATAAATTATCATAGATTTGTTCAAACTGTATGTATAGTTTATATTAGATTGTCGAGAAATTATTAATTTAAATACCAAATATATATGTATTCATATATGTGTAAATATATGTATATATACAGATTACATTAATTTAAATGTCAAATATCAATATTCAAACTGTATACATACATATGAATAAACATATATATATATGTACAGGTTAGATTAAGTTAGGTTAAATTATTGAAGAATTATTAATTTAGATGCCAAATATCGAGTATTCAAATTAAATATATATAGCTATATGTGTAAATATATGTACAGATTATCTGAGAATTATTAATTTAGATGCCAAATATCAAATGTTCAAATTATATTATATATATAATTACATTATATACATATATAACCACACGTGTAGAGGTTAGGTTAGATTAACTTGTCGAGGAATTGTTAATATATGTATATATATATATGTATATACAAGTTAGATTAGGTTAGGTTAAATAGAGTATATGTATAGGTATCGTTTACTTATTTTTGTACAGCATTGAAAACAATTGTCATGCGTGTGCAAATACTATTTGTGAACGGTTTTATTATAATTTATGCTGAAACCAGTTTCCTGCTGTGAGAGTCATTATTTAATAAGTTGGCTGTTAGGTTAATTTGGAATAATTTTATTTTAAAAGTCGTTCGTTTAATCGTTTCTTTTTTTTCTTTCTTTCTTTCTTTTTTTTTTTTTTTTTGCATCTATATACTATGTTGATAATTCGATAAGCTAATGGCTTAATATACGTGGATTAATTGGTTATAAATCGATGGCAATGTGATTGATTAACTTTAGTGGCTTAAATATTACGATTCAAGTCGTAAAAGTATTAAATTATGGAAACGTTACTTAATTATTTTATTTCATATTACCATATCCAATATTACTACAATTACTTTTATCTCAATTTTTTCTGTATCAAATTTTGTATTATTTCAATGGCATTGTATATAGGCACTGTATTATTGATTATCAAAAATTCAATTATCCAATAAATATGCAGACTTAGTATTCAAACTTTAGAACTATAGAAATAGTTTACTCGTGTACATTATACAAGCGTATATAGCATTGTCATGATGGAGAATTTTACCGCTTTCACGCATCCTGCCACCTCGAGGGAGCAACTGGAAAGCTATTCTTGCCTTGACACGGATCACGTGTGCCTCTGTGGATTAATTTCGATCGCTCGTAATTACGTAATCGAAACGAGCTATCGCGGATTTACAATACCGTGGCCACGTGGACAGAACTCGTATACTCGTGTGTCTTGCAATTTGTTCCTCGAATGTCGATTCAAATTATATCGAATACAGAAAATAACGCATGGAATTTTTAATATTACGAATTTTTATATTAAACAGTCGATTGATCAGGAAATAATTGAGAAATGAAAGAAGAAAGAGAAAGGTGTTGGAAATACGGTTTGAACATATTTTTGAAATCTAATTGAAAGTCTGACTGATATGAATATTAAATTGTTTGAGTTAAATTTTATATAGAAAATGACACGTAAAATTTATTTAATAGTATGAATTTTAATATGGCAGATTATTGATTATCGATAATTAGAAAATAAAATAAATAATCAGATAAAAGAAATATTAAAGATAAAAGATTTGATTTTTGAAAAGAACGTAGAAATCTATTTAAATTATATAGAGGTTATGTCGAAATATATTGGCGTACAATATTGCAATACACTTTTATCTCAAAATCTTTTCTTTTCGATTCACAAAAATTTTATTATTAGATTTAAAATGTATAAAACAACTATATTATTATTATTTCTATTATATGTAAAATCAGAAAAAAATTTCAACAAACGTTAAAAAATAATTCCTAGTATTATATACTAAGAAATATCACAACAATGCAATAAATATTTTTGTCTCCACACTATTTCTTCTATAATTTTCACTATAATTTTTTTCCATTTTAATTTATAATATCCATTTTTTCCTCTGAAAGCACTATAAATAACATTACATGTTCACCAAGAGAGTATCTTCACGTAAAGATCAGAAAATCATTGCTGAACAAACGATGAAAATCTCAGAAAAATTTCGTGCGAATGTCACGATTGATTCACGTAATACACATTTTATAATGTGTTCGATTGATCGAGATAATTTTCGCGGTTCATCTTGCGACATCGATCATGAAATACTTAGGTAAATATGACACTTTGTCGTACAGGTAGCATTACTTCGCGTTTAATTGGGTCGAGAACGTGAGTTTGTGAGGTTAGGTTGCATGGGAAAATTGAGATAGATTACGCGCAATTGGGAATAGAATTGTGTTATTTGAATTTCGATTGGATAGGATGAATTATATATATATTAATTTATTGTTAAGAAAATAGCATTCTTTTAAAAAAGATTTTGGATAGTAGAAGAGCAATTGTGTTGGAATGATTATCTTTCTTGCTCGATAAATCTAATTCTCAATAACCTTTCATATTTAATATCTAAATCAATAACTTAGTTTCAATGACTTAAACTTTAATGACTTAAAATTCAAATAGCCAATAAGTCCCAGTGATATAATTTACAATAATTTAGATCTTAAGTTTCTGTAATCTATAATCTAGGTTCTGATAATATAAATCCTAATAATTTGAAGTTTCACTAATAAAAATCTAGGCATTCGATAATCTCTCTTCCAATCCTGATAATCTAATTATCTAGCTTTCAATGACTTACGCTCAATAACTTAGGTATCAATTCAGGTACCAATAAAATAGATTGATAATTTAGGTTAGGTTCTGATAATCTAGACCCTTTATCTCTAATCCTTGAAGATCTAATTTCAATAATCTAATGTAAATCCTCAATAATTTAGGTTCTTTGATAATCTAAATCCTGATAATGATAATTATCTAATTAATAATAATAACTTAATCTAGTTTCCAATGTTTTATTTCTAAACACCAATAATTTGACTTTATGTAATGTAAATTAATAATTTAGATTTTGATAATTTAAGTTCTAATAATTTAAGTTCCGATGACCTAACTTTAATAATTTAATATAGATCTTCAATAATATAGATTTCCTGATAATCTAAGTCCCAATAATTATGATAACTTAGGTTCCAATAACTTAACCTCAATAATCTAGGTCCTACCTAATGTAGATCTCAAGTGTCGATAATTTATCCTTTAATAATCTAAATCTTTCGATAATTTAGGTTCTGATAATCTAAATCTTAATAATCTAATACCCTAACACTAATAATCTAAACATACGATAATATATCTTCCAATAATCTAAATGTCGATATAATTTGTTTTTCATTAATTAAATTCCTTTATAATCTAGGTCTAATAATTTAAGTTCCAATAACTTAAGTTCCTAATTTAACTTAACTTAATCTAATCTATTACTATATTAGTAATCTAAGTTCCAATGATTTAGGTTACCAATAATTTAAAACTCAAAAAATTTAGCTCTAAATAATATAAATCCAATAATCTAAACTCCAACAATTTAGATCTTGACAATTTAGGTTGCAATCATTTAAATTCTAATAATCTAATTTTAATTATCTAGATTTTCAATAACTAAGATAATTCTTTATAATCTAATCCTTAATTAATTCTTAATCCTTAATTATGCAAGTTCAACTGCATCAAATGGTGCACCTTTAGTACTCAATTTAATCTTTAATAATTTAGTTCTTAATAATCTAGTCTCACTAACTTAGATTCCAATGACTTATGACTACACTTCAAACATTATTTAATCTTCAACTTAGTCTCTAATAACCTATTTTCCAATAATGTAATTATAATAATCATTTTTCAATAATTCTCTATTTTCAAGAAATAAATCAAACACTAGATTTCAGATTCAGAAAAACAAAGATGATTCGGGATATCAAAGATAACTTTAAGAGAAAGGAAAAATTGTATTAAACAGATCGATCGAAATTGGAACGTGTAGTGGTAGGTGTCGCACGTGTCGCCCACTCGTGTGTCGCCACCGAATTACGTAAGAGTCAAAGTCGTTACTCATTGGCCGAGTCGTTCATGCATGATTCATCCTTTAATCCGGCGACCGGCTGTTAATAACGGCCGAGTTTATTTTAAAACTAACGTCCTGACACTGGATCCTACTTGATCGAAACAATTCGAAGGCGATCGACCTGCGGCAAAAATTTTCATCTTTCTGTCTTGATTCACCTCTCTGTAAATAAGTGTGATTTTCTGTAACATGTAAGTAAGGTTAATGAAAATATGTCATGTTTGGTGGATTGTTATTGATATATTAACTCATCTTTGTTTGAATATAGGAATTGTAACCTTGAAGATGATTTATTGGAAAAGAATGATATAAAATAAAAATATAAAAATTATTTATTACTTTTAGATTTATAATTATTTTTGTTAGAATGATGAAAGATGATTTAATAAAAAAGGATCTGTGAATCTATAAACTTTTCTTCCAGAAAGATATTTATGTTGAAATTTTTATTGATATATGAATATTATATTAATATAAGATTATATTATATTATGTAATAATATAATATTATGTAATTTACCAAAAAAGGATCTATAGATTTATAAATTTTTTTTCCAGAGGAGTCCTGATATTAAAAACTTTTATATTTTTGTTAATATATGAATATTACATCACATTATATAATTATATAATATTAATATTTAATATATCACATTGCATCATATAATGACATAATATTATATAATTTACTACAAAAGAATCTGTAGATCTTATATTTTTCTTTTCACAAAAATCTTTATATTAAAAATTATTTTCAATAAAAGAACATTACATCATTGAATGAAGATTTACCAAAAAAGAATCTATGAATTTATAAATTTTTGATGAAATGAAATGAAATGAAAATATCGTATTACGTATAAATGAAAATATCATATTATATAATAATATATAATATTATATAATTTATCACAAAGGAATCTATGGATTTTCTTTCACAAAATCTATATTAAAAATTATTTTTATTATTAAAATAATATAAACATTAAAAATAACTTACTAAAAATAAAAATCTATAAATTTTTCTTTCTAATTTTTCTTGATAAATAAATAATATATCATTGATTTACTAAAAAAAAATCTATACATTCTTTTAGAAAGATAATCAATTAAAAATTAAGGAATTTTATATTTTTAGGGAAATCAAATCAAAATTAAACCAAAATGAACGTAGAAATGGCAAATCTGATTACGACACCAAAAATTGTAGAAATCAGGTTCAGTCCAGATAATTTTAGTTCGATCGAGTGAGTAATTCTTTCGAAACCATGAATGTTAATTAAACTCGTCTAATTAATCGCTTGGTGAAACTTTCCCTCTCTGTGAACAGTTTTTCTCAGTTTTTTCGAGGGAGAGGCTTGACGAAGAGATAGTTCTCAATAGCCATAATCGATCCACGTGAAAGACGAGCGCGATGAACAGTTTAATTGGCTTCGACTTGGTTCAATTTGATGGGTCTCGATGTGGTCAATAATTAAACGGTGAATGTTCTGTTTTAATTTATATACAGCATGTTATTATTTAATCTTTCTTTAATAGAAATAATGTCTTTTTTTTATTTTCTGTTTCTGAAATTTTTATATTTTTTGAATTTTTTCTTTTTCATAATGTTCTTAAATCTCATTCTCATTATTTATTATCATTATCATTAAATCGTTTAAATTTTATTGATCTTCAAATTAATTTTAGCAATTTGAAATATATTTGAAATTCTAGAATGATATGATTGTAACATTGGTTGCATATACGAAATTTTATTAATCTTCAATTGACAATATATGATATTGTAGATTTTGCAATTGCATAAGATACAACATTGATTGCAATCAAAATAGCATACAAATTTTCAAGGTAATGTAAAATGCAATTGGACATTGAAAAAATTTTGTGACAATTTTTAAATTTTATATATATATATAATTTTATTAATCTGAAAATGTAATTAAATTTTATATAGTAAAATAAAATGATAACACTAGTTGCAGTGAAAATTGTACACGAAATTTTAATAATTTTCAATTGCATCAAATTTTTAATTGCATCATAATATTTCAAATTAATATAGAATAAGATACCAATTGCACAAATTTTATTGAGGACTTTTTTAACATTCAAAATTTTATAATAGGATAAAATGCAATTAAAATCTTCATGACATTTATTTCTATAATAATAACAATAATGTAAAATCAAAATCTTTTTACTAACTTTTATTGATTTCCAGACAACTGTTTTAATTTCTACAGTAGAATCTTCAACTTATCTGAGCAGAATAAAATGACAACTAAAATTACCTAAGAAATTTTCTTGACTTTCAGCTTTTACAATAAAATGCAATCAAAATCTTTTTACCAATTTTTATTGTTGATATTATGATCTTATATATAAAATGACAATTAACATTTGACATTTCTTTGCTTCAATATATTTTTCCCTTATTTTTCTTCCATTTTACTTCACGAATCAACAGAAAATAATTCATAAGATCCAACTTTTACGATCCATTTACCGCTAACGTGTAAAACATCAACCATCCTTCCATCCGTTTATGGCCACCCAACTAGTTCGTCACACACCAGGTGTTAACCTATTTTCCACGGTTTTTGCCGATAGGTGTCGCAATCATGCCTCAAACGAGAATCCACTCGTTTGTGCGAAGTTTGGAAAATAGAACGAGCATTTCGAAATTGTCGAGTTTCGAAAAGCCGCGATTAGCAGAAAGCTGTTTCCATCGATCGGAACACGCGTTTCTCAAGTTATGCAAATGTAGCATGTATGTACGTTCCACTGACCTATAGGCTACGTGAATTTTCGAATATTGATTCGTTCGCATGAGCGAAAGAGCGTAACGAGTATAAAACTAAAAAATGACGGATTTCCAAATATTTTTCACGTTTTACTGAAAATGTTTTTGATAAAAAAAAATTAATTTTATAATTATATATTCTTACTTGCTTTTGCGTGGAAAATGAAAATTGATTGTTGAATAGTAATTATGGGTTCTCTATAATTGAAATATGGAAAATGATGATTATCATTGTATATTTATTTCTTTGATATAGTTTTTTGACAAAAAAGTGGAAATTTAAAAATTTTAAATTTTGCATGGAACTTATTAAAATATATTTTGTATAATTTAAATATGAATAATTGATTTTTTACAGTGATATATAAAAATATAGAAATATTTTAAATTAAAAAAAATACTCAGAATTTATCAATCTGTTGTAAAAAAAATTTTCCAAAATGAAATTGCACTAAAAATTGAAAAAAATTTTTTTATATAAATTTTATCGGAATTTTAATTGGAATGATTTTTATTTCCTTGTAAAATAATTTATAGAATTATAATGTATATAGAACACGTAGAAAAATAGTACGAAAATACAACGAAATCGAATCTTATCGGCTGTACGTCGCATCGAAAGAGGTACAATTGTTGTGTTATATATTCGTGCGAAGCGTGGAGAAAAGCCTCGTTGGCTTTACGTAATCGGTAATAAATACGACCGCAATCGATATTTCGAACTGACACCCATCGGTGCCGTGCCAACCCAAATCGAGAACCATTAAGGGATTTTTAACGTTTTAAAATGGAAAATGTTACGACAACGCGTGATTTTTTCACTGTGAATCACACAATTACGAAATGGAATACGTCGATTTTATAGTGAGTTATAGTTTTATACGTAGAGTGAACCGGTTTCGTTACGCCGCCATATTGAATTATCTTTAGGATTGGATTGTTTTGTAATTTTCTTATTTGAGTTTTATTTCTTAGTTATTTTTATACATCGAATAAAAATGTGTTTTTAAATTTCGTTTTAGATTTGTGTTACATAAAGGGAAATATTTTTTTTTTTGAAATTGATATTTGTGATCAGTTGAACGTTCATGCAAATTAATTTGTTTTTAAAAAAATATGATTTTATAGATAAATCGAAAAAATGAAATGTGAATGTATTTTCGCGTATTATATTTCGCGTTGTATTTAAATTTTTCATAAATGTATCAATCCTTCGTCTTACAATCACAGTGTTTTTTAATACACAGTATAAATATATAATAAAAAAAAAAATGTTATGAAAAAAAATCGACGATCGAAAATTTTCATAATTTTGTTTCGATCGATTCTTGAATAAAATTTTGAACTTGGTCAAATAATAAGGCAAAGAATTTACAATCCACGATCTTAATATTTTTTTTTTTTCTTATTCTTAAAGAATTCATTTTCATTTATTCTACGTTGGAAATAATTTGAACTACAAGTAATGATAAATTAATATCGCAATAAAAAAGAATATTCCGTAAATATTTTATTTATAACATTTACATATAATGACCCTTTAAGCCTTATCTTCACTTACATCATCTTTCAATATATTGTTATCAATTTATCGCTAATTTGCTAATTGCATCGATATTGAAAACATTATTGCGTAAACAACAAGTTATGAACTCATTACTTCGATAAAACGTCCTCCTCACCACACTATTTGACTTTGCAGCGTTCCATAATTAATTTGCGTGCTCTAAACAATTGGCAATAACGAAATAACGAATAAAGATCATGAACCTAAAATGGCGAGATATTCAAATCAGTTTATCATTCCCCTCACCACATTTATTATTGTATACCAATATGCCATTATGGTGGATTAACAACAGTTGCTTCAAGAGACTCTCTCCCTTCCCCCTCCACCTTACCATCAAGCAAAACGACGACGTTAAAATATTTCGAATATTTTTCTTTTTTTTCCTCCACAATTTCGAGAATGTATTCAGAGTTAAAAATAAATAAAATTGACGTTTCGAAAGGAAATGGGAAATGTTGACTGGCTTTTAGGTTTATTACACTCGCGTGAAGGATGATAAATCAATAAAGGTACGTATTATTTCCACCGGAGAACATGTACATCGAGGTCTCACTTATTTTTAGAAGAAACGCGACACGAAAAACTGGTGCTGCGCGTGAGATGTTGAATCGAATTTACCGAAATGGATATAATTGCACGTTTTAGGTGATATAATTGAGGAGAAATAAAATTTTTTTCATTCAATTTTTGAATTTTTGATTAGATTTAGGTTATACGAGAAATGTCGTTAAGTTGAATTTATTGGAATAGATATAATTAAATTTTAGTAATGTAATTGAGATGAAAAATACAATTTTTTTTCGTTTGTGTTTAATTTTTAAATCATGATTAGTTTTAAAATAGATTTAGGTTAGGTTAACCTACGAAAAATAATGATCGAAATGTTGAATCGATTTTATTGAAATCGATATATTTTTGCATGTAATTACATTTATGTTATGTAATTGTGTTTAATTTTTAAATTATTTTTTAGATTTTATTGTGTTTGGATTTAGATACACGAAAAATATTGCTAAAAGAGAAGATTTTTTTGTGCGTTTAATTTTTAAATTATGGTTAGAAATTATTTTATTTGGAGAGTGAAAATTTAATTTTAAAAATAAGAAAAATTAGAGTAGCTTAGATAAAACATTATTTTTAAACACTGTCTCATCTGTTGTTTGAAATTCAGGAAAAATCACAATATGATCGTAGAGAAGTCTAGAGGAATAGTGAATTACGAAACTTGGCGGGAAACGCCCAAGTTGCCGAAACAACTCTTACGTAAACTTCTCTCCGAAGCTTCTACTACATTCTCGAGTTTTGTTCATTGTTTAATAGGAATTTGATAGAAGAAAAGTGATTTTAAGAGTATTAGAGAACAATATATGAGAACATATGAGAAATGTTTCTTTTATTTATACATAAAATATTTGTAGATATTATACAAAAATTTCACAAACCAGTTATTCAGAAATTCTTGAAAATTCTCCAATATTCTTCCAAATGATGCATACAATATTTTTATGATTCGATTAATCAAAAATCTCTAAAAACCTAAAAACCTAACCTCTAAAAAAAATCGATTACATCATTATAATTACAAAATTCCAAATTCTATTTCTTCAATATTCCCAAAAATATTTCTTAAACCCATAAATCATTCTTGAACTTGTATTTCCGTCTCTCCTTTCATTCAATCCAATACCTCGTGTCATACAATTCATCATAGAGAACGATTTAGAATATCAGGGATGCCTGTCGGTAATTGGCGCGAAACGTTCACAATGGATCGAATGCACATCTCGGTTGGTGACCGGTCGATACACGCGGGCCACTTACGTAAAAGAAGAATAACGAAAGAATCGTAGACGCCGCAGAGGCATATTTGTCGATAAGATAGAGTCACGTGCTCGTTGCGCTGTCAAACTTCTCTGTTATGTAAACTTGTCGTTCTTCTGGCGATTTGCCATTTATTTGTCGATTCCATCGAGGATTTATTTCGACTTATTTTAGGCGGCGCGTGAACAGGATACCTTTCTCTTCCTTTCTTTTTCTTCCTCTTTTTTTATATTTGGATGATGATGATCGCATTGATATGAAAGATGAAAATTTTAGTATTTATGTTTATTCAATGATTGAATTCGATTCGTTAATTCTCAAAATGTCAACTAGTAAAGTAATAAATATTAAATTGAGTCGAATTTAGATTTTTTATTTCATGTTCATTTCGAATAAAATTTCTTATAGATCTTATATTTTTCACTATGGGTGAAATTATATACATATTCAAAGTAAAATATCTAAATTCGTCTTTATCGCGTTTATCATAAGGAAATCATTTTTTCCAATTACATGACTCCTTTGATAAGTCAATTTTTTTCCTCTACGATTTCGTTCTTTTGTTTGATGTATATTTTTTTTGCTTATTAAATATTTTTTTTGTCTTTTTGTGATTTAATTTTGGGTTTGATTATCACTTTTTATTTATTAACCACTTTTCTTCCCTATTTTATTTTATATCAATGATTTATTTTTAATTAAAAAAAAATTTTTTTTTCAAATATGCTTTGAACATTGTAGTATTGCATACATTTCATTTCGAAAATCTCGAAAATAGATGGAATAATTAAATATAATTTTCGTTCCATTGCATATAAGCGAAAAAGCGACGATAGAAAAAGAAAAAAGTATTTCTTATGTCGTTTTTCGGGGGCGTGGTTACTCGTAACCACGACATCCGACTTGGATAACGTTTCCCTCCTTTATCGTTACGTCGAGCGGAAAAGGGTATCGCGGTCGCGTATCTGCAACCGTGAATGTCGAAACCGGAACCACGTTGTCCATCACCCGCCTGTTGACTCCTGATAAAAACTACCTTTTTTTTTCTTTTTCTATTTTTATAATACACTTTGTGGCTATTGATATGCGCATTATATAATATGTATGTTAAATAAGGAAAAATGAATTTTTTTTATAATAATCATAATAACATTTTTTTTTTTTAGAAATATACGAAATTTATAATTGTACAGCAAAATCGCAAATGAAGTTTAAGAAATATATATATATATATGAAATTAGATTATACGAATTTTAATTTGATAAATTCATATAAATTTATAAATAATCTAACAATAATTAAAATGATTATTTTTTGTTTTATGATTAATGAGAGCGTGAAAATTAATATTTTTAACTTTAAAGAAATACTTATTCTCAGAAATATTTATTATCATTTTAATCATTTATATATAAAATAAATATTTAATATAAATGATAAATAAATCCAATATTAAATACAATTTTTCTTAATTTCATGTAATTGTATTGAAGAGAAAAATCTCCGTTTCAAATTTTCAATATTGAAAAAACATCAGAAATATTTCAATTATATTGAACGTGAAATAAAAAATTTCCAATTTATATTTCACTTTAATTAACAAACTCTTTAATCATCTTTATCGAAAGATAATTTCGATTTTCGCTATATGAAAATGTACGAGGCTATAATTAAACGCGAAACTCTCTCCTTTCATCGTCTTCAGTTTCCGATGTTAATTAAAGTTGGATCGTATCTAGGAACATTTTATGCGTGATTCCACCAGCGCTGCCAACCGAATTCCCCTAGACCCCGCATCCGCTCATTATTTACTCTCGTAAATTTTCGTACGCGCGGAATCTATTTCCACGTTATGAGGTCGTCGGGATTAATTTACAATTCGTCAGATATATATTTGCAACTTCTTTGATGATTTATCGCGTTCAATGAATTTTCTCTTACAAATTCGAGAAGCGTGAAACACATTTTCGACATACTTTTCGGGATTGCTATATTTATGATAGTTTTCAAGGAAAATTAAAAGAAAAGAGAGGGGGAAAATAAATTTTTGAGATGAATTTTTTTCTATTTTTTTCGAAGGATATAGAATTTTGTAAGTATCATATAATAAAACTTTTACATTTGAAAATTGAATAAACAAGGACAACGGAATTTTTTGAATAAATTTTTTTTTTAAATTAATTAAAATAATAGTTACATAAAGGAGTTGTATATATTTATATATTTTTTGTATATATTATTTATTATTTTTTTTATGTCGTAGACACAAAATTCGATAACTTGTAGAAAATTGTACTTTAAATATAAATATACAAATAAGTTATGCCTTATCCTCATATTTACATAAAAATCATTATTACATTTAAGTAGAATAGTGGTCAGTTGAACGATAATAATTTTTGATCTGTGCTAAATTCACATATTCACGTATGATGAAATATAGAAAATCTTTCTTCAGAAATTTCAAAGATTCATTTGTAAATTAAAATTTGACAACAATAGTGGATTCTTAACAATATTCTTAACTATAACAATAGTTTAATCAAAAATAGAATAAGTTAGGTTAAGTTAAAAGTTTTTTCTAGAAAAAAATAATCTTATATTTTAATGTAATCTTAAAAAATTTGAAGTAAATTTCATTCTTCACTTATCAATTTTTCCAATTATTTCCAATATAATTTCGAACAAACGCATCGATAAATTTCTCTCGTAATTTCATAAATCCAAACTATCGTTCAATCGTATACAATTATGCTCCATTCGTTTCCACGGTTAAATCCACGGTTGACAAGATTAAACTCGCTTTCAGCGAGTTTCCACGTACTTGTTGCCAAGTTTGCGGCCTGTATGAACACCTGTAAACCGATAGTTGCGCCACCATTTTTCCATTGGCCACTTGCTCGAAACGTATAACGTTCGCGATTATCGTTGTTCGACCACGTTTCGTAATATCGGATTCACGTAACGAGAGATTCATTTTTGATTGATTAATTTTAAGTCATTAATCGACCATTAAGAACAAAGGCGGTAAATATATAGATGCTATGCAGAGCAAAATAATCGATTTATTTTCATATATGTCGATGGAAATTATTTCAATGGGACGAATGATATTTCTTCTGTTTCCTTTAATAATAGAACTAAGGCAAAGTAAGTAAAATTAATTTAGATTTAGTTTTAGATATTAAAAAAAATGCACGAATGTTTTTGATAAAAATTAGAGATTAGTTTCAACTTTTTCGTTTTGAATTATGAAAAAGCTACAAATGATAAGAATTAGGTTAGATTTTTTTGTTTTGAAATTATGAAAATTGTACGAGTGTTTTAACAAAATTAATATTAGTTCTTATTCCGATAAAAATATAATTATTTTTACAAGTATTTTAACTTTTCCTATTTATTAATTTTAAGTTATTGCTATAGTTATATATTATAGTTAGTTCTAATGTTAATCTTATCTATTTTTTTTTGTATTTTTTATCTCTAATAGTTTTTTTTTTTTTAAACATCGAAAGCTAGAAGAAATTCGATTAAAAATACGCGTCAAAGGATTTCTTAAACACATGATCCAAAATTTCTAAGTTTACGAACATAAAAAAAATCTATAAAAATGTACGAAAATAAAATCCTACATTTCTTTATGTATAATACCGACAATTCTAAAAATACGTTCGTTTTTTCACACATTTTATTTATCTCAAAACAAACTATACTTCCTGGTCTACTACGAAAAATCACAGAAGAAGAAATTTTTATTTCAGACTAACTGTCCAGATCTTTTTATCACCTAGCTATAATGGACAAAAAAAATTAAAAAAAAATGAAAGACGTTAACAGAATATACAGAAATTATGTACACGATAAACAAAACTGAGAACAAACATCTGGCAGAGAAGGCTCGAAAAACAAATCATGTATCCTTATCTATGCTTACGAAACAAGAAAAGTCTAGAGCTATAGGAAAGGGAATTTTTATTTTGCAAAACTGATTTTATAGAATATATTATTTCAATTTTTTAATCTTTTTTGATATGTAATTTCTTTTATAACATCTAAATAGTTTGTTCATTGCTATTCTAAAAAATGCAAGCAAAATTTTAAAAATCAATTTTTATTAATTTTATTTATCTATAGTTAAAAGAAAATTGAATGGAAAATTAATATTCTTTTAAAAGAATGAATCTTTTAAAATATAATAATGTAGTAAATATAGAGATTTTCAATTCGTGAATCGCGATTTTCAAACAAATTATTGTTATCATTTTTAGTTAATGATTTTTCATGCTTATTTATTTTTAAATAACCTTCTTTTTAATATATGTCAATGCAATTATATAAAAAAATAAATAAGTACCTTAACATGTTCACTATTGTCATAAATAAAAACACATTTTAATTATATTAATATATTTACATAATATGAAAAAAATAAGGAAAAAAAAGCAAAAATGTAGCGAATAAATATAGTTAATTATCTTTCATACATATACACATTGTCTTTTTTTTTAATTATAAAAAATTTTCATATATTATGAAAAAACTGATATATATATATATATCATATTTTATAATAATATCCTTACAAGAAATGATATTGAATATATCTGCACATGTCCATTTTGATGAAATTTAGAGAAAATTCTCAAAATAATATTTGATATATTTTTTGTTTTAGATACTTTTAATACTCATAAATTTTATCAAAATCAACATATATATATGTTGCATATATGTTTCTTATAATAATGAGTGCATTAATTAAAAATTATCTTTTTGAGGATCACTGCTTTATCACCCAATAAAACAATCATAATGAAAAAAAAAAAAAAAAAA